TTTGATGACGTCATCAAAACCGCAGCGCCCTCCAGCCATTGTGATCGCTGCCTCCGATTGTTCCCTTCTTCAGAAAAGGCCAAGAAAAAAATCAGAAGCGATAAACGAAAATCTTACCCATACCCCGTGCGAGTCTCAGCAATTCGTCGACGCTGTGCCGTATCCAGATCCTCTTCTTCTAGCAAATCGTCATCGTCTGACTTCGATCTTCTCAGCATCGTCAAACCCTTAAGATCATCTCCTTCTTCCTTCATTGCATCGGCCAGCTCCGCTTCAAGAGTGGCTTGCATTTCGCGATGAGTCTCTCCCAGTTGGAAAAGAAGGGTAACTAAAACAAACGGGTTTATTGACGATCAATCACAGGACAACTCAAGCATTATAAGAACTTCCTAACAAGGAAAGGTCAATTGGTCAGTCTGGCTATCTGGAATGAAATGTGTACGTGTATACGTGCCTCGAATCGCTGAGTTCAAATCTATTCGTTATCTGCGGAACGATTTTCTGGAAGAAGTTATGAAACAAGAAAGCGCAGTGGTAGTGACCCTGACTCACAGGCAAGAGGTTATGGGATCGATTCCAGTGCGAGTCCAGACTTTTGCTCTTTCCAGAGGTATGTTGAATGTCTTTCCAGCTACATTTCCGAAAAAAAAAGCACTGACTCGCACTAAAGTCGATCCCACGACCTCTTGCCTGTGAGTCAAGGTCACTACCACTGCACTTTCCTGCTTTGCAACTTCTTTCAGAAAAATGTTCCACAGATAACGAAATAAATTTGAGCTCAGCGTCTCGAAGCACGAATACACCTCATTTCTCATAGCCAGGCTGACCGATTGACCATTCCTTGTGAGTTGGGAGTGACTATCACGATGGGATATGCGACAATGAGTGCGATTTTCGGCCTAAGGAGATTGCATAGAATGAGCTATACATGAGAGGAACTGAAGGATGCTCACTCCCTCAGGGGATAGTGATGTACATCGTTCATTACAGGACCATTGGAGACGCACATCAGCAACACTTTCGAACCTTGAGCGGGCGCGCAAATTTGCATGGTTTGAAGGCGAACCTTATAGCCAATCGCTATTCAGGTGTTTGAGCTCAAACGAGCAGGGCTGTTCAGTAGATCAGTCACTCTGCCCACAATACATAAGTTGTTGACAGCATAATGATTAGAACGACAATACCTACCAAACTCGCTGGCAAATTGGCACACAGTCGTGATTTTTCTTTTCGGGCAATTAGCATATCATGGCAATGTCTGCATAGCCTGGATGAATTTGGATCTGACAATGAAATCTTCCATATCCTTACGAGTAACTCAAGTGACACTTGACTGATTCATCGAAACAGCGTAACGGGTATAGCCTTGCGCTGCGTTATAGACCTTAACTTTCCTTACAGAAATATTCGCCAAAACATTTCCGCCCAGATGTTGACCATACCTAGCTACGAGGCTTCACTGGAGTACATCTGACAGGATGCCGCTAGAGACAGAATTGCCGGTGTTTTTATGGTGGAGTAATAGGATCAAAGAGGCAGTCGATTAGGAAACAAGGTAGAGGTTGTCAGGGATAAAACAAAAAATGAGATACGGTCCAGCGCCCGAGAAATGGAACCCCTTCTTGCTCGTTGATTTCTGCATTGGACGCTAACGGTCTCTATGCAGAGCGACTAGAGTCAGACGGTGAGAGGTAGGGCACGCCGCGACGCAAGCGGCGCGGGTACGGCGTTGTTAGGCCGATGTCAGACTTTGCGAATCGAGCGATTCGCTAGCGTCCGCGGTCGCGTTGCGGTACCAGCCAATTGAGTGATTCACTGGCCGCGACGCGACCGCAGACGCTAGCGAATCGCTCGATTCGCAAAGTCTGACATCGGCCTTAGGCGACGGGGGCACACTGCTGAACACGCATTGTCCCGCAAACCCGCCTGCCCCTCATTGTGATTAAATCCCCTTCTTCGACCTCCACCCCTATCGTGGAATCCTTAAGAAGTACTCAGCCTGCCAATACAGTTAAAATTGCCTCACGAGACGAGAAATAAAGCACTGTTTTAGCACAGGAAGATTAACCAAGGGATCGATCTCATGCTCATGACGCGCAAAGCTATGCCTCTAGCCCCTACGCCACACGCTGCTCACAATCACGCTTACCTGATTCATCGGCGGAAGCGTCTTTATCTCTAGTCGAGTGGACGCTGCATCTGGTGACGATAGTGTTGCACGTAAATTTCGAAGTTTGTTAATGGAATCCTCAATCAGTGATAGCGACTCTGAAGAAACTTCTGAAATGGGCCATGACCTTGTCCTCAACTCCACACCGCAGATGCTTTTGATAGCTTTTGACAGTTACAGCTTACCTTCACTTGCCTCATCTGCAACCGGAACATGACCCGAATCGGACGGATCACTGCCATATGACTTTGGAGCTATCAGATCGAATAACGACGACGCACTCGATTTTGGATCATCCACCATCACTGCACTCGTTGCCGTACTCTAAATTTTTCAGAGACTTTATAGTAAAGGTCGAGTTTCTTAGAGCTCTTTCAAGGGGTGAAACTTAGACAGCTACACTCCCCTTCAAAAAGCGAGAAAGTGTCGGGTGCAGACCATGCACCACAAGTGACGACGGCCTTCACAAAATGTTAATGTTTTCTGCCAATGAAATGATTAGCCTGTTGCAGTTGTATTCTATCGATATCAATTTTACATGGATCAGCGTAATAACTTAGTCGTGCACCACACTTCTCGCTTTCTGAAGATAGATACCTACCCTTTCAATTAAACGTCCCCTTTAGTTGGTGAGCTGTTCTGTGAGGTGCTTGCGATGTAGGGGATCCCAGCATATCCATCGCATCCACGGCTACCTCCGGAGTGTCATCTGAATTCAACGTCGATAGACTTTTCGGGAATCGAAAACACAAAATTGGAATTCGGGGGGGGGGGGGGCTTTCGGGAAGCGTTAATTGTATTCTTAGACAAATCGATTCCAGACCTCTTTACGCTTATTCGCAGAACCAAAATTCCTAGCATCATCCTCTTAACAATCCAAAACATCTGATCACGCCAAAAGACGGAAAAGGGAGGGGGAGCAGGACCATTACATAAACTAGTCTCACCTTCAACAACACACCAACCATCTCGTTCTTCTTCAGCCTGATTGAGCTCATCTAGATCGGACATATTGAAAGCCGGCGGAATGTGGCACTTGTATATGACGGCCAGCTTCTCTGTGGCGTCACCAAGCAGCAGTAACGAGAGCGTCAATGCAAATCGCGAAATGTCAACAGCCACTATAGAGAGTCAGCAACTAATTAGCCGATTAAATTTGAAAAGAATTGTTTATATGTTTTATTTATTTATGCCACGTTCTGTGCGCCTACATTATTACATTTAGCATCAATAAAGTGAGAATATTAGTTTGACGATTTGTATAACATGATTTATCAAGCTGTAATTATCAAAAAGTCATGGTTATAAATTATTATGCGTCCAACAATTATTATTATTTATCGATTCTAAACGTACCCTGAATAGTCGCACTACAAAATTCGTGGTCACTGGCCATGGAAGCAGACGTCGAACAATCTCGTAAAACAGATCGTAGTCCAACCTGAATTAATCGAGCGCGCATCTCAAGAGAGAGAAAGAGTCCAAAACCAAATAGTAAATCGTATAACTTCGCTTAACATTATTTCTGGAAACTTCAATGCTTTCATCAAAAATGGTCCCACTTTCAGTTGCGACATCGCGACAATTCATTTACTTTTGCTTTCTAGCAGTTTATGTAGAAACCGGATTTGATAATGTTCGTAGGTCGTCTTGATCAAACTAAGCGCCTAGAGGTGGCACCAGCAGCTTTACCAATTACGAACGACCTATATTGTGACTGGGATATGGATCCTTTCGGTCTCTCTGTCAGGAAGCAGATGACCTTGCGGCGTTACCAATGAACATTCGCACGACATAAATGTCTTCTAAATAATCAAGATACGAAAGGACACCTATTGAATAAATATTCCATATTCCAAGCACTTAAAGCTCCCTTTGTCCTCTATTGAAAATTCCTCCCTTAATGCTTAATAGATGTGCATAGATAATATTATAAGTAGATATTTAATGACATTCAAAGTGATGAATGTTTCTCCGGTCCCGACAGAATGCTGATGCTGCAACAAAACTTTGTCCCAACGAAATGAAATGGTGCCTCCTTAGCGTAACTGGTAGCGCACTTGCCCGGAAAGCGAGAGGTGCGGGTTCGAGTCCCGCCTGGGGCGAAAGTTTTGTTCACAACCCAGCATTCTTGTGAAACATTCGCAAGGCGAACTGCGGCCAAAAACAGCAGTTAACAAACAAAACAAAGAGATGTTTTTTTTGTACACCGTAACCCAGATATAACACAACAAAAGAGAACACTAAGCCGAACTGTCACTGGAATAAAAAATTATTCGATCAGACGGGAGAATCAGAGATCATCTATAAATAGCCGAGATATCCCTTTTTCGAGAGCATGCACGCTCCCATGACGCGTGATTGCGTTGATCCCTATCAAATCGGTGATTCCCTTATAATCCAGGTCATTCGAGAAATCTCCATTCAGTAGGCGCAGCATGAAAAACCCTTCTTCACGAATGAACACTCATGCGTTGCACTTTGCACTGGCCCGCAGGATGAGAGATCGTTCAGTGAAGCGTCCGATCGTTCACGATCGTAATCGTTCTCATAATGCTAACACTCCTCCTCATCTACATCCTATTCCAAATATTCGCGTCTAGCTACGGATGTATGAGCATGGCTCCCGCACCTGACACCTCTTTCGCACGTGCTAATAACCACAACAGCCCTGAGGAACCGGATCCATCTGATCAGGCTCAACAACCACAACCATTTGCACGTTCACCTGCTCGGGATATGGTGTGCTCGAACCACCCGTTCAGGGAAGAGGATCGCAGGCTATCGCACACTCATCTGGTCGACATGCTGTTGCTGAGCAGCCTAGTAAGAGTCAGCGATCACAGGCGCTGAAACCTTCACCTAATGTCAATCCCAATGGGATAAAGCCAGCTGATCAGAGTCGAAGACCACAGAATTCAGTTCGCTCAGTTATTCAGGATCCAAATCTGGCAGCTTTACCTCATAAGGGTCAAGGACCAGAAGCTTCTGTACATTCATCCACTCGGTATCCAAACAAGGCGCGACCTTCTATTCGTGAAGTGAACAAATCACAGACCCCAACAGTCACTCCTCTCACCCCAATGCACACAACTCGTGCAGGATCGACTGTTAAAAATACAGCAGTGGCTTAAGCCAGCCGTCCAGAGTCGAACCACAGAATGATGCTCGCTTATTTTACTAAGACCCAGAATTGGCACCTGGCTGATAAACAGCAGCAGTCGGGCCCTAGTCCTAACGAAATCAGCTGTTCGAGGGTCACAGAAGCTTGCACGCTTATTTACTCGCAGTCCAGACTTAGGAGATACCCTCGGTCGGGGTAAAGGATCAGAAGCTTCTGCGCATACATCCACTTGGAATCCGGTCACGCCGAGACCACTTGCTTTCGGTAGAGGACTACAGCCCTCAACGATGACTTCACCTGCTCCACTATCAACAACTCAAGGCGGACTACCATCTGCCAAAGTCTTCCGCATACCTCCATTGAAACCGGTCGAAGTTCCCTCCAATCAGATACTAGAGCCGAAAGTTCGAGTTTCCACTCGGGAGCTCAGAGACTCGGAAGAAGCCAGCGGACAAGAGTTTCCACTTATAAGCCCTGTGGAAGTCATTCCTATTCCCGACAACTCTATTGACGACGATCTTCAGTGTAAGTGTATTTACTACTACGGTAGCGGTCAAAATTATTCACCCTACAGTTTTTCACACATTTTCTCTCATGACGAATGCGCTCCCCGTTCAAATTCTGATATGTCGTAGCTTTTGACTTTTCTTCAAACCCTTAATTCATAAATACTTCAAAAATTTAGCAGTGAACAGGATGGCTGTTCGGTATTCATACGTTAGGCGTTGTCATTGATATAGGAACAGTGGAGCGTTCAACTCAAACCACCAATCGTGCTCATGGGTCCGTGTGATGTCGTTTATAAAGCCCTCAGTCACCCCCCCCCCACTCACTAATGCCGTATCACTACTTCATTTTAAGCCTTATGTAGACTAGGTTTTGGGAAGAATTAATGCATAAAAACCATTTAGAACTCACCATCACGTACTTACCTTCTGAGAAGAATTCTCATTCGAGTTAACGAACTGCCAAATTTCAAGACCCTGGTCAACTCGTCCCGCACTCTCATGACAGACTCAGGAGCCGGCTTCGAAGACGAACACTTCTGCTCCAATTGGAAATCTATCCAGGTGCTTTTCTTGTCATTTGGAGCGCCCTTCACTAAGCTCTAATTTCTTATTTTTGATGAAACCCATAAGGCAGCGAAAATTGATCAAAAAATAGTCCATGTGGGAGGCTTGCAACCGAACACGCGTATTCTATCTCTAGTTCACTACAAATCCCCCTATTACAACAATGACGGAAAAGTCTGAGTGAAATACATGTCTAGCCGCATAAATTATGACGACGAACATTCACCATTGAAACTTCAGTTGAAAGTCATGGTTTACCCAGCAACGCAGCGTGAAGCGAATGAACGCCATAGTTCACCCATTCCTAGTAAAGCAGAATTCACGATGGGACGTTTGCTCATTTGAAAATAAAGGATAGAGGTGGGTCAGTGGAAGCAGGGATGAAGAAGAAACCATTTGAAACGGCCCGAAACCCGAGAAATGGGACCCCTTCCTTGCCCGTTGATTTGCGCATTGATGCGACTCTCATCGCTGTGCCCTCTTCAACACTACGCTCTCTCTGCTATCTAATCACTCGCCACGTATAGACCTGCGGCGAGTGATTAGATAGTCGGTGGGCCCGCCAACCGCGCCAAGAGTGAGCCATGCTAGATCGCCCAGGTCAAATCTTTCGCTGCAATTGCGTGCGATCATCCAGCCCTCTGCGAGCGTTCGCCCTCGCAAATTTCCCCATCTTGAACTTCGTTCTTAACGTGAAATCCTCCTTCAGTATGAGTTATTCGTATCCCACTGAAAACAACTGAACCACCTGTAAATGGGTTCACCTCGCACTATGAATTGCGAGGGCCAAATTGCGTTCAGAAGTTTTGCAAATCGCCACCGCACGAGTCACGATGACTTTAAAGTAGCATGCCGTTGGTTATTTTCTCTCACATAAAACCCTTACCCATACAGCTGAAAGGACCAAAGTCTAGAAATGGCTGGGGAGAAAATTTGCTCGGATCATGAGTCGACTTAACCACGTCCGCCACTGAAACTACAGTCAGTGGCATCCCACGAGCAAACAATTTCGAAGCTTAAACCCTGCTAATATTGAAGTTGCTTAGCTGTGATGGCTAGATGATTAAAAACCGAAAAGTTGGCCCACACAAAGTGTTCTACGGGAACATCCCAGCGATCTTCTGAAGTGATTTTGAGGGGCCATTGTTTTTGAGTAACCTCTACACCGTTACCATGCAGCACTGCGAGCCAAATGCAACGACCCGCGATTCAGCGCAGGCCTTTTTTTCAGGATTCTTTCAACATCGTCGTATCTCCGGAACTCCCTACAATTCACGATCAGGACAGCACAGACGAATGCACACGAACCGTCAAATGTGGCCAGCCCTACGTGCTCGTCAGGTGACACATTGCTTTGACAGCTTCGATTTTATTTGAAATATACCATGAAAACCTCCCATACTCAAGTCTACAATCGCTACTATTAGTCGCTTTTGTAGCGTCAACGCCTTATTGCCAAATCCGAAATGAACTCAAGTCAACATTGTTTAACCCTTTGACGACCGCCGTTATGAATGCGTCACTTCACTTCTTTCTAAATTTTTTCATCAATAATCATTAACTCTCCAACAATTTCACTATTAGTAATTAGCGCATTATTCCGCGAATTCGATAATGTATTTGTGTAGTTTTGAAACATAAAAAATGCCAAAATAAACCCCTAAAAACGTGTCGCCACCGAGCGAAAGTGTGGCCCACCGGCGGGCCACACGGTCGTCAAAGGGTTAATGATGTACAGAAGCCGTTCTTTGCCAGTGGCGTCCTTATTCCCCCCACATGACAACTTCTTGATTATTGATTGATATCGATTGATTCAGGTGGTACAACTCAACAATATGTGACGTGCATTCCCTAAGCTACCATTTGGACACTTCCTCAACATCGTTCTCGTACAACTGCAATGGAACCTCATGGTCTATGCACAACTTTCCAATCGATAGTGTAGCATGTGCCACCAAACTGTTACCGTAATTAGTAATCAATTTCAGTCAGCACTGGTAATAATAGCACCTCACTAATAATTGAAATTCAATAAATGTAGTAAAAAATGACACTGTCAAATCATGGCAAGGATTCCGAAAAAAGGTCGAAAAATAGCAAATTAAACAAAAGAAGAAAACATAGTAATAGACGCCTTCTGCATAGCCGTCGCGCGCAATACCTACTCCAAATATCGCTTACCTTCACGTATGTTTAGGGGTTCAAGACTCACTGCATGGTGAATTTGCATTCCTTACCAACACTTCTTATTATACTTCTCATTTGGCTATCTTCCAGGGTCTGAAATAAACAAATTGGCAATACTTGATTTAATAATGAATTTCGTTCATGATCCGAAGTTTTTTTTTTCTCTGCAAAAAGCAGAGCCTAGAACACCTTGAGGCCACTGTTTGGGGCGTTGCGAAAGTACCGCGCGAAATCAGCATTTGAACAGCAAGTGGTGCGAAGTAGCGTGGTGACTAACACGTTGACGACAGCGTGACGCGGTAACGCGTCCCACTTTGCGCACCTCGTGGGACATTGTGACGCGGTAACGCGTCCCACCCAAGTCATCCCTTTTTCTTGCGCTTGTGCGACTTATTCCTAAGGTCTTTGTACTCATTCTATAGGTCATACATTAGCATACTTAAAAACCACATGGCTCACAGAAAGGTCAAATATTCTTTAGTTTGGCAGACATTTTCCAGACCTTATGGATATGTCTGTTCGATTCATTCCTCGTTTTCTTTTCAATAACGTAGACATGTTGATAAAAAGGAATAACAGAAGTGAATACAAACCTATTCGTATGGGAAGATATGTGTTTTTACTGAAACAACCACGTCCAAATTAATTTTGGAACCACTAAAGGGAAATTAAGTAAAATTTCCCTTTCATGGCCTTAACACGTCATTTCGGTCAAATTCCATTACTGTAACTCCTGGTAAGCCTAGACAGATCGAATCATTGAAACATGTCAATCGCAATAATCATGCAGATTTACAACCGAAAAACCATGGCGCTCGATGTCCGGGCGCTGCCCTCGCAAAAATCGCACTCCTGTCCCCGCGGCGCGCAAAAGCCAAAAAAACCCGATAGTCGTCAAGCGCTTAAAGGCAAAAGTCGGGCTCAATAAGGGGGTATTATGGCGATTGAAACTGAGTATAGAGATGCGAAGTGGAACGACAGTGGAGAAAAAACTGAGAAAAACCGTCGACAAGGCCGTTAACAAAACCCTCTTTCCCACTAGCAGTGAAGGAGGCTGGCTTGGGGAAGAGGCACGTACAAACAAGTTTTCTGGAGATGTCAGTCGTTCTATCGGTTGATACGGCAATCAACCTAGCTGATTTCACACGTTATGCCAGCCACGCACCACTTCCGGAGGTGGGCGGTCCTGGATTGACCAGGCGGCCCTGGATTGAAACCGAACGCCCCGGGGCCTTAACGGGGTTTTTCAAGGTGGGAAGTTGCTGCAATGTGTGCAGCTACCCACATACAACCTCCAGGCACGGGAATTACTTCTCTAGCGTGCCTGAGCCCGACCTTTGCCTTTAATGCTGTCCACTTCATCTTGAATCGGATCAACACTGGCGCGTCATGCAGCTCACGAATCTACCAGAGGACCAATCATTTTTTGCCTAAATATTAACCAGTGCCTAGAATGAATACTAAGCAAAATGAACCAAAATTCAGCAGTTTGGTCGTAATATCTGCCATTAAGGCAGCTTAGCCTAGAAAATTACAGAAGCCATCAGACTCGCTATTTGGCAACAGGTACCGCTTCAGAATCAATCCAACAGTCTATGTTCCAAAATAGGGCACAAAAAATTTATGCCTAATTGTACTTCTGGAGAGGATTTTCATAGGAAATCATTTAGAAAAATCGCCAGTTCTCCTGTTCTATGCAAATGTAAACAAATCGTGGTTGTTGACTAGAGGATCGCTGACGAAATCCTGGACGTCAGCGGAAGTAACCACTTCAGATCCAGATCCGACGAATCGCAAAACTATCTGCTCACAACAACAGGACATCAAGGAAACTGTCTAACAAAGGAGACAACATGAGAACAAACCTGGACTACTTTCAGACGATGTTTCAATCGTAGTCTCTCGATCTGTTCATTGGTGAACGAGTAGCCAAAGTCCGCGGCTAAGAATTCGTCAACAGGGCACCCACAGGTATCTAACATTAATTCGAATTTGCGGCGTACAATATTACCTATGAAAAAAATGTCTACATATTCACGACAGTTTCGGTCATCGCTGTCTTTCTAGAAACAGACGACATGACAGTTGAGGAGTTAGAGGACGGGAATGTTCACTGGTAGGCCGATGCGCAAAAAACTAAATATTTCCCTCCAGGACAGGCAGCAGCTAAGACTGCAGACGCGTGAGCAAGTTTGGCGCAACGCGTTCGGTGACACCAGCAGCTCAATCCATGCTTCAGCCAAGCTGCTCCAATTGTGCCACTGAAGGCAACAGAACTCGCCCAAATCACCAACTAAACTAGTGATGGAGCGCCTAGGGGGCGTGGCGATTTCAAGTACTGCTAGCAGCTAGCGCACCTTTCGTCGTGAACGTGCTACTGAAAAAATAACGCACGAAAACATTTCGGTGAAGACTTTAACCGCCACCGCATGCCACCAATATGTACTTAGCATTATTGGGTTTTTTTTTTTCAAATTTGCCCCACAATTATTAGTTTTTAGAAGTTTCTCGTTAAAAACTGAATTTCAGACCTTTCATCCGAAGCAATTCCATTCAAAATACACAGTTTTCTTATTTTATAGAGAGTCCCCCTTCTAACCGGCACTCTCAGTTTTGCTCTGGAACACCTGCTTGCCAGTCTTCCAAAGATTTGCCCCGTAGTCCCCTAACTCATGCTACCGAACCATCAGCCTTACCTTTCCACTCTCTTCAGATGTTCCTTCGTGAATTCGATCTGCATACGCTGACAGCGCCCGCCATCAGGGTCTCACCCTCATCCTTTGATTTGCAGATGATCGACTCATTCTCGCGCAGCATTTCCATGGCCACTTGGAACATCAACTGAAACAAAGTCCGATACGATTACAATCAAAAACTTACTTTAAACCCTTTGCTAATAGAGCAAGGAAGGGAAAGAATGTGCTGCTCCTACCCACCCTTGCTCCTTCGTAGAAGAACAAGTCCAGTATCCGAACAGCGGCATCGAATTTGATGGCGCTCAGGAAAATGGTCAGGAACCACGACAAGGCTACCATATCTCCTAATCCCAGTTGTGAAAGTTTCGTACTGATGTTGCCCATAGGATCGCTCCACCAACTCCGAGAAAACACCTGAAGCTTCACTTTGAATTTCACGAAATACAAAAGAGTCGAAGAATAGTAAATCGCAATATCGCTTGCAATCATGCAAGTAACTCAGACAGCTTATGGCCTATTCTTTCGCAAGAGGACATCAAATAAATTGAAATAGACGTAAAAATTGGATGCGCGGCGCATTCTGTACTTACCTTGATCCACTAGAGCACCAACGACTTTCGTATTGTAGTAGTCAGGTAGAAGTCGCTCACATATAGCCACCAACAACCAAAATGCCTCTTCTTCCTTTACATACAGTAACAAAACCGAGCTCACTATATTCATAGCCTGGCAGTAACCTGAAAAAAAAATCAAAAAACAAACCTTTTGAAAAAATTAGCACTACAGAAACGTCTCAAGAAGGATAACTCACCAATATTGGGATTCCTGAACGAATACGCAGTCAAAATCCGTCGCAACGCATCGATACCTTCACCGTTCTTGGAAAGCTGGCATTGCTGGATAGGCTTCTGTAAAAATCACGCCTAACATTAGCGTCGAGTTTGGTATTTATTTGAAGCCGTCTGACGATACAAAATCCCTTTCAATCTCGTCCAATGCAACTGTGTACACGGACTCGTGCTTGCGCAGTAACTCTTCGTAGTATCCAGGATGTAGCTGCATTTCCGCACTCGCACCCGAACATACCATCCAATTCTGTAAATTGCTATCAGTAGAGCATGAAGGCGGAAGTGGTGTAGTGACAAGTGGCGCGCTCACCACGCGAGCGGTCCGGGGATCAAATCCTGGGTCGTGAGTCGCCCGGGCCAACCAAGCCTTCCATCCCTCCGGGGTCGGTTAATTGGTACCAGACTTGTCTGGGAGGATAAAAACACTGACTTGTACATCGGCTGGCCCCCGCAAGTCATTGTATAGGCCACATCGCATTCAAACGCCACTGCGAATGTACAAATGGAAGTAGAATGCGTGCCGCATCCCAAAAAGGGATTGATCAACGGCAAATGCTTTATCCTTTATCCTTTAAGCCATGGGCTACCCGATAGGCAGGCGCCTTGCGCGGCGAGAACGCATACGCACGACGGGCGAGCCTGCGCGTCGCCATGCGCGCCTTATAGATTTGGACCTGCAAATTCTGCACATTCTGTAATTGGTGCATTCTATTTAACTTGACGCGTAAATCACTGCAGTACGCGCTGCGACTCGCCGCTGACCCGTCTGCGTCTCTGCCTTCTCGTCGCGCGACGGGCCTCCTGTCGGGTACCCAACCCCATGAGCCTAGGAACGGAAAGGCAGTTCAGCTATTACGCCTCATATAGCTCTTCCGGAAAGCGTAGCCGGTGTAGTGGCAAGCTGCACTACGTAGCACACCACGATCCGGGACCAAATACGAGGTCGGATTCCGCCCAGGTCCATTAAGCCCTCCATCAGAAACCAAATTTACTTGGCTGGATAAAAACATTAGTTATTTAGTGGCTCTCCCCTCGCCACACGTCACACCGGAAGCCACATAGAAAGCAGCCAACAGTTCAAATGACACTACCATTCTGAAGGAAAGTGGATCGCGTGGAAAGGTTTCGGGAGCTTTTCAGCTCTCAGAGGCCTATGTTTATCCTAAAGGCTCTATGTGAAGACGAAGATCCGAAGATGTTTATATTCATGTATTTATCTATTTATTTATTCAGTACGCCGAAAAGGTGCGCGCACAATGATCTGAAGTCTTTTTTTAGAGATGAAGCCTGGTTTCTTCTATCGTACTCATAGAAGAACTTGAGCAAATGTTATAAAAAATGACTTATAAAAAACAATCAATATTTACCTCTCCGCGGAGATCAAGGGGTACGCCTTCTAACAGCAAACGATGCAGATCGACGGTTCGATACATTGTCGTCCCTCTACCGTATTCATCGAACAAACGTCGCCATTTGGCCTTACACTTCTCATCAGCATCCGCTCCACATGGATACTTCGCTATCAGCGGATAATCCAGAGGAGCTGGTTTCAGCTGGGGTTCCTAGAATGGGAATGCCAGGTTTCAGTTTCAATTCTGAATAATGCTGCTACCTCTCGGCTACAAAGTTGTCATCTGACCTAATGACTACCGCAACCCTGCAAAAATCGAGTATAACACTAACCTTTGCTGTGGACGGCTTCCTCAGCGTGCTTTGAATCCGAAATCGTTCCACAAACGTTGTGATCTTTGCAAGAACCCTATCACGATCCGGTACAAAAGAGAAGACGATTGTGCCCTGTAGCATGCACACTATCAGAGAATGTCCCCTGTTCTTTCTTCAGA